AATTACAATTTGGAAAGTATACTTGAAACAGATACCTTTGATAGCATTATTACCACTATATTGTCACAAAAACATAAAGAATAATAGTTGCCTGTAGTGTACTTCTTGAAGATTATGCTTCCTACCGAACTCAATTACCCCGTCTATAATAAAGAACTAACTGCTATAATCAAGGCCTTTGGTTATTGAAAATCCGAACTAATAGAATTACACTTTAATATAAAAGTATTTACTGATTACAAAGTATTGGAGTATTTTACAACCTTTAAACAATTTAATAATAAACAAATCTATATTGCCAAACTTCTTGCCAACTTCAACTTCTTTATTATGTATCGTTCTAGCAAAAAGAACCCTCTAGCTAATACTCTCTTTCGCAAAGACAACGATATAGAAGTTACAAATAAACAAAAGAAAAAACAATGTATACTACCACTATTTATACAAGATCAGCTTAACTTCTGTATTCGAATATTTCTGAAATCCTTTGATATTGTTGCTTTTGAATATATCAAATTATTTATCAAAACAATAGATTATATACTATATTTTAATAAAATCTCCGAGATCTTTTATACTTTACACAAAAAGGCCTTAAAGCCCTTTTCAAACAAAAACAAGAAATCCTTATATATTATAATAAATAACCTTTTGTTTTACAATAAAAAATTAATAATTCCAAACATAGAAAACCTTTGTATATTCTTTATCAAAGATATACATATACAATCTCTTTTTGTATACCCAAATACTACAAAAACCTTGAAAATATTTTCAGATTATTATTACTAAAAAGGATTAAGAGATGATATTGCCTGCTATATTTGTAATTGTGAGATATATTATTATTCCAAGGTCTTTTGTGATAAAAAACCAGAACTCTTGAAACCCTTTAGTATATTGCAATATCTTTGGTAATACATCACTATAGATTTCTATAGTTTTAATAAAGATAAATATAGATATAACAATATCTTAGTTATTATCGATAGATTTATTAAATAAGTTATTTCCATTCCCTGTATTAAGGAATGTGGTGAAAAAGAGTTTGCCAAATTATTTATATATCACACTTATTGTTATTACAGTTCTCCTACCTTTATATTCTCAGATCGAGACATGCAATTCATCAATAAGTTTTGGAAAAAGCTTTTGATCATACTTGGTATTATTCTGGTATATTCCTTCACAGATCACTCTTAAACCGATAATCAAACAAAGATATATAATCAGTATCTACAGCAATGCTTACGTCCTTATGTCAGTTATTACCAAGATGATTGGTTATGTTTTCTATTATTTATAGATTATGTACAATTAACATTACCCTACAATTCTTTGGGTTAAATAACTTCTTTCGAAGTCCTTTACAGATATTCTTTTTATATTGAATAGGATTGGAAAGAATACAATTCTGATCCCCTTAACAAAATCAATATTCAGGAAGCCTGTGAATTTGCTACTCATGTATATAGTATATAGAAATTTGCTTGTAATCAAATCCAATACACTCAGGATCGAATGGTTCAATAATATAATAAACACTGTTGTAAACCTGATTTCAAAGTAGGTGACATAGTGTGGTTGGACTTTCGATATTACAAAACTCAGTGTTTCTCCTGTAAACTCGACTTTTCTATTATTGGCAAGTATGAGATTGTAGAGAAAATTGGATAGTCATACCGATTTGTATTTTTGATAACAATATATATATTCGATATATTTCCTCCCAAAAAACTCCGTTTCGTATTAGAAAACCTATTTTCAGAATAAATTAATTCTTCGCTATATTCTATAAATATTACTAATAAAGAAGAATAGGAAATAAAGGAAATATTAACTTCAAAGTTATGATATAAGAATATTTTTTATTAGGTCTCCTAGTTAGATCACCCTCTGGATATTATATAGTATAAAGCAGATAATTTTAAATATTCCCTTTACAAATTTCAAGTTTATCATTTTAGTTATTTTAGTCAAGTAGGACCACCCATTGCCCTTACGGTATGGATAGAAAACTATGATAATAGAGTTGATAACTATAATGAGATCACAGGCGATTTATCTATGAAAGGACACATGAGGTCACGCTTTTTCGAAGGGGGGGGTAATGTGACGGAACAGATGGCTCTCTTCTGCCCACTGGCTTATATTACATATGTAGTATGATATGATGGCTCTTTTGGACCTTCCTTTTATAGCTTAGAACTCTAGCTCTAGACCTAGGCATCGTACGATGCTTATCTCTAGGTCTCTTTCACCCTTTTGGGCCTAGCCCTTATGGCTCCCAATACCTGTATATATAGTCCTCCTTTTAGCATCCTACATAGCTCTTCACTTGTAGATTCTAAGTACACAATCGGAGTCCTGTTTATACCCTTTTGGTCACACTAAAATTTTATAAATGATTTTTATATTAATTATGAATTGCAGCTAATCTACAGACTCGGATACCCGCCGATAGGTTCCTATTCAGATTTTTCAATTATCCGCCCTGTAAACGGATGATTCGCGGATTCTCCGCCAGCTCAATCATCCGCCCCACGGGTACCCGTTGCGCAGGCGTCACCGTCACCGTCACCTGGTCCTGGTCCTGGCTAGTAGTAGTAGTAGTAGTACTGCATCAATGGGGCGTAGATCCCTGGTCAGAGAATAAGTCAAAAGTCAAAGATATGGACAGTACTATGCAAGGAGTAAAAATAACTTTTTAGCTTCAGCGCAGATGCTCACACTAACCTGGTCCTGGCAAACTGCTTCCTCCTTCCATCACTGAGTCATGAGAGTGAACCGACAAACCGCATCTAGTTTTAAGCTCGATGGCTTGACTCGAGGAACGTCCACAAAATGATGCTAGGGGTACCGTCAGATGACAATAAGATGAATGGCAGCAACAATGGGAGAATGCAAGCCGCCCGCCTTGTTAAGACCCCCCACAAAAGCTTGATTAATCTCCATCCTTTTGACCGCGACACCCGTATGCAATCGTTTTACAGCCGAAGTAAAGCAATAGATCTTCGCCACATGACTACATGAATAAAAAGCTAACAAACTACCCCTCATGCATCATTTTGTCGATACTATAGCAAACACAGCTGCTCTTACTCCGGCCCTACTGTCGCTATCCCGGGCGTTTCTCCACGATTCTCCAGATCCGAATGAATACCGAGCTAAACGCCCCCTGCTGCCACATTTATCGAACAATGGTAGACAAAATAACGGTAAGCAACGTCGCTGCTGATCATGGCTAAGTTGCACTTCTAAACCAAGATTCTTGGATTGTGACAATAATAGCTTGAGGTATCAAAAAGAGACCGAGGCTCTATGTCCTTATATAAAACACGATCTCAGCACTCAGGTCGAGAACAAGCCCTTTATTTTACAACTTTTCATCTCAGATACTCACCTATACAACCTCCCACAAACTCAACATGAGGACCTTCCAAGTTCTTGCGCTTTGATTCCTTGGCGCAATGGTGCCTACGGTATTGGCAGTTCCACTAGCTGAACCTTCCGCCGAAGAGCAATCGGTTTCTGAACCAGACATTACGAGATACTATGGCGTATGTTTCTTCTATATCAAAGCTCTATCTCTCGTTCACTTTTCAAGATTCCCCAAATTTTCCTCGCAAGCATAGCTAACGGATCACTGGTTCCAGGCCTGTTTGGTTGACGGCCAAATCTGCAGGTACACATACTCTAATAGTATCAACTACCGAGGATCTTGCCCTAAGGGTCTACCAGTAAGCTATTATTGTCTTGTGACGTTACTACCTATGCACACCCCTCTCTGTATTGATGTCACAACATGGAACGATAGCTAATGCTTAAGTTTGAAAGTGTACAGAAGATGGGAACGTATGCTACTATTTCGGTGGTTCAATCAGGTGCACCTAGATTGCTGTCATGCAATGTGTGATGGGACTGATGCTACGACAAGAGAAATACCGCTGTAATTATGTGGTCATTATCACTAAGCCTGTCTGAAGGCTGTTTTTAACTTCTATATCTAAAATTGATTGAAGAGGGGATTGCGGATTGGGATAATAGTCACTGTATTTTATGCCGTCCACTGGTAAATATCAAGTTATGCCCGCTATTGAAGAGTAAAGATTCTCATTAGATTTCCACCGAGTATCATGTGTTTTATATGCATAGTGAAAATTGTGATTCGTAGCCTTGCTCGAATGACAACCCATTTGAACAGACTCCGACATCAAGGCTCTATTATAACATTTCTGGTCAAATTTTTCATTTCCGTATATCGGTCGTAATCTCAGCCTTATTCGTCACGAATGTCCCAATGCGAATTGCTTCCTGTGGCCAAAGTAAACCTGAGACGGTCTAAAGGCTAAGTAAAAAGCCCCCAAAAACAGTCCAAGCTAGGATCTCTCAATTGAGATCAATTAAGATCTGGGGTGAGTTACCCGGCATTGCCACAAATTCGGTATCCTAGTCACAGGAAGGCCGCCCCAGCCAGAGTCTTGCGTTAGGATGGCGCTCCTAGCTCACTCCTCCTAGACCTTGCAGAACAAGTTTCAAAACAAAGAAGAACATGGAGAGAAGTAGTACTAATCATATATTATAACCACTCAAATATAGCAAGGAAGCACGAAGAGAAATCTACCTATAAAAAGCAGGTAGTCTATTTTATTGAACGCACAAATCTTGGCCCCCAAAGCATGAACTATGCGCAATGTATATATAGTTTTGGAACAATATGAGAGATTAAGAACAAGCCCCTAAGACTTATATATCGGGTGACAACACTCTATTCTGGCCTCCGGGTCTTCCTCTTTGAAGTGATCCCGTTCAATGTGATGTAATATCTTTGTAGGGCGGCAAAAAAAAAAAGAGCACATCCGCTCTTCGATTCATCTTCAATATAGAACAGACACTGAGTCTTACCACAAACGATAGGGAAAATAAGAGTGAGGGATCCATTCTCGGGGACTCTTCCTTAAAAAAAGTTGGTAGAGGAAAGGCGGTGGGAAGTCGACACTATGAAGCCACCTCACGATCGCCACAAAGAGCCCGTATAATATTGGCAGTCTGAGTTCAACGATTAACAATGTCTCATAGAGTAATATTCGCGACACGATTGTAGAGGAGGTCGACCCGCTGGGATCTTTGAGGGATTTGGTGCTGAACCACAGGCTTAATATACTTTCCCTCCTTCTATTCGTTATTCTGCCTTTCAATATTTTCCATCGGCCGGCAGCGGAAGTAGTTTGTTTGGCATTCTTCCAAAATGATGTTTCGATGTTTGCTTTAGATATGACCGATTACGGCAGTAAGTCGCCGAACTTTTGCTTTTATGTCCATCCCATATACTTATGTAACCCGGCCTTCAACTTTTCTCGCTCTTACTCAAATACAATGATCTTTAAGTTAGGAGGGAGTGCGGCTAGAACGCCACTAGATATATGAATCAAGACACAGAGATCACGCATACGACTTATATGTATTAACATATAAGGGACGCTGTTTACCAGAAAATACTAGAAAAGAACAAACTAAACAACAACCCGCACCCTTGTGTTGATATAGAACCCATTATATACAACTAAGTTCGGGTTGTGTTGTTTCATTTGATTCAAAATGGCATTGGTCGTAGTATCTGCAAACCAAGAACATTTGTATCAGCAAGCCGTCTCCTCGCGCGGCCACAAGACAACTTACAATCAACGACATTCGCTGTCCCACGTCGAAAGCAGTAGCTGGTCAGCGTCTCCTTTGAGCCCGCTGAAACCTGAGGCCATTCGAGCAATGCTTGGATTAAGAGTATAGGAGAGCCGTCTCCTTATTCCGACGGAAGATGGACATCTTGAGCTTCTCCTGCTTCCAGCGCAGCGGCGTGCACAAGACTGAGCCTCAAACGTCGTGCTCAAAGATCTGCCTAGGAGTCGTTAGGCTCGGCACCTCAAATGCGCCGTCTACAGGAGCGAGGGAAACGAAGTGCGTGATGGAACAAAATATCGGATCGTCTACCTCGGTAGAAAAGAATATCGTACTGCAAGTATCCGTTAGTTCAATTTGGGGGCACGGGGCAGTCAACCAACTCAAAGTTGGGGCGTCTCTTATATCTTCTGTAGTGGTCCATTGTGACCTCCAACACGAGCATGTCCCGCCTTTCGCCATCAGGGCCGCGTACAACCAGCAGGCGCGCATCCTCATAGTAGATCGCATCACAATGTTGAAGGTCCTCTTCAAAACCACTAGCAGCATCGATGCTGTGCAGAGCACTATCACCCTTATCCACAGCATGAACCTCGTCATCGTCAAGATCATTGTCCTTTGAACCTGTCTCGCCCCTTCTCTTCTATTTAGCATCGACTAGCTCGGCAGGCTGACAACCCTTCATGGAGGTTACATCGAGTCCAGAAGAGGCTCCTCAAAAGTTGACGGTCGCAAGAATAGGATTTCGAGGGCTGACGTGATGGAGTTCTAGATTGCTGAAGGTTCAAAATTGCTGATTGCTACCACGAGTATGAGTATTCCGAGTATTCGTACAAAAAATTTAATTTTAATTTTAATTTATTATTATTAATAATAATTTATATTTGACATTTTACCCCTCGACAAAGGCGGCGAGGATTATATTCCTTTTTCAAGTGATGAAGTCAACTAGAGTCCACAATGACGAAAGAACGCCGCTTTAGTAATTCGCGCTAAAGAATAACCAATACCGAAGCTTCCCTTGATGATTAAACTGGTATCACCAAGATTTTTTGAGCTTGTTACTCGTAACGAATCGATCCTCACTTTGAACATCAAGACTGTCACCACCACCTATCAGCTACAGTATTCATCATCTTCCTCATATCCTATTCTATATTCTCTAATATCGCTTTTCTTATTATCAAATGTCTGTACCAAACACAATGCCTCCGGGCAAACCCATGCCAATTTTTGCCGCATCAACATCACAATCATCAGTCTGGGATCGCATAACAATATGGGCTTCGGAGAACAAGGCAGTTGTATATACAATCGCTGGTGTGGCAGTAGTGGTCTCAGGCGCCGGAGTTGCATACTACTTATTAGACTCAGTAAGTCGCATTCGACTCCTTGCTTTGAATGTACCCCATTGTGACAGGTGCTGATATCTTTTGACAGAATGATTCCACATCTACCCAGAGCGTGCCAAAGAAATCAAAGGAGAAGAGGCGACGGAAGAAGGAAGAGAAAAAAGAACCCGACGTAGAGAAGGGGACTACGCCACCGGACACAAAACCTAAAGCATCAGTCGAGACTGTGGATGAGCTTCCTGAAGTTGACGAAACCACTGTGGGGAGCTTATCGGACCAACAACGAAAAGACTATGCCGCCAAATTAAAGGCAGCTGGTAATACTTCATATGGCGCTAAGGACTATCCTCGAGCCATCGACCTTTATGGGAAAGCTATCCTTTGCAAGCCAGACCCTATTTTCTATTCGAACCGAGCCGCTTGTTACAACGCCCTTGGTGAATTCGAGAAAGTTATTGAGGATACCACTGCTGCGATCAGTCTCGATAGCGAATACGTAAAGGCTTTGAACCGTAGAGCAAATGCTTATGAACATACCGAGAAATTTAGCGAAGCTTTACTTGACTTTACAGCCAGCTGCATAATCGATGGGTTCCGCAACGAACAAAGCGCACAGTCTGTCGAAAGATTACTCAAAAAAGTTGCAGAGTCAAAGGCAAAGGTCATTCTTGAGGCTAAGGATAAGAAGCTTCCAAGTCCAACATTTGTCACCAACTACCTCCAGAGTTTCCGATCAAAACCCGCGCCTGCAGGACTAGACGATAGCGCTGAATTATCGGAGGATACAGGAAAGGGTCAATTACAACTTGGACTTCGGGCTGTGGCAAAGAAGACAAATGAGGGGTATGAAGATGCTTCGACTGCATTCGAGAAGGCTTTGGACTTGGGCGATCTTAGTGAACATGAAGCTTTTGCGTACAACATGCGCGGAACATTCAGATATCTTCGTGGGGTACAACTGGACGCTCTCAGTGATTTGAGTAAGAGTATTGAATTAGAGCCCGATTACACACAAAGTTATATCAAGCGTGCAAGCATGCATTTGGAACTTGGTTAGTTTCCCAGTGCAGAAATCCATGATTGGTTGCTAAGTTATTTATAGGTGACAAAGACGCCGCTGCCGCGGATTTCGACAAGGCCATGGAACAACATGACGATGATCCTGATATCTACTATCACCGTGCCCAACTCAATTTCATTCTTGGCGAACTCTCACAAGCGGCGAGGGACTACCAAAAGTCTATCGATCTCGACCGGGACTTCATCTTCTCACACATTCAACTCGGTGTTACACAATACAAGATGGGCTCCACCGCGTCATCAATGGGAACATTCCGACGCACGATCAAGGCATTCGAAGATGTACCTGATGCATATAACTATTACGGAGAGCTTTTGTTGGATCAACAGAAGTATGACGAAGCTATTTCGCAGTTCGAGAAGGCGGTTGAGTTGGAGAAGCAAACCAAGCCATTAGGCATGAGTGTTCTTCCACTCATTAACAAAGCTCTTGCTCTCTTCCAATGGAAGCAAGACTTTAGCGAGGCTGAAAAGCTTTGCGAAAAGGCTCTTATTAGTAAGTGTTTTTCTTTCCCCTTTCCCCTATCCTCTATTCCTTATACCAATCTAATCCCCAACAGTCGACCCTGAATGTGATATCGCTGTCGCAACCATGGCACAACTTCTCCTTCAACAAGGAAAGGTAACTGAAGCCCTTAAATACTTCGAGCGAGCAGCAGAATTATCTAGAACCGAAGGAGAAATCGTCAATGCGTTGAGCTATGCCGAGGCTACGAGGACACAATTGGAGGTACAGGAGAAATATCCACAGTTGGCGAATAGATTGGCTGGTATGAGCGGACTCGGCGGGGCTGGTATGCGTTAATTTTGCATGCAAAAATATGGGGGCTTATCATGTGTGGATGGGAGCGGAATGATCAGATAGTAATGATTTTGGTGTCATGAATGGACGGATGTGCAAAAGGGCTGGGATAAAAACAGCATGGAAATATCGAAATTGTTGAGAAAGATTGTTGAGATCGAATGGCATTCGATGATTCCCAGGATTTCATCTTAAGTAAAGAAAGAAGGCCCAAAAAGAGCACAGTCAATGTAAAATTATTTTCTCACAAGCAACTGAAAAGATCACCTGGTTCACTCGTTGGAAACTGGGGGTCGGGGGTGAAAGAGAGAGGAAGAGGGAGGGGGAAAGAGAGGGAGAAGGGGGGGTATGAGTGTGTAATATAACATGAGGAGTATGAGTTATAATTGGATAGGATTGAGTATGTGAATGTGAATGTGAATGTGAATAGGGTACAAGAATAAATAGGAATAGGGTGTTTGAATTGTGTGAACTGTGAGCCGTATTATGTTTGTTGTTATGTGTATAGTGAGTGGGTGAGTGACTAGGTGATAGGGGTGAGGTAAGATGAGGTAAATAGATGATTAACTATTTTTTTTTGGTAGGGTGAAGGAGGAGGAGGGAGGAGGAGGGAGGGAGAAGAGATTTTGGGATGTAGGGATGTAAGGATGTAGGGATGTAAGGATGTAGGGATGTAGGGGTGAGTATGTGGTATATGGGTAGGAGAGATAGGTGAGAGGGAGAGGGTTCTGGGGGGGGGGATGTTATGTTATACTAGTTTTGTGGGTAGGTGTAAAGAGTGAAGAAAAGAGGAGAGAGGGGTTATGAGGGAAAAGAGAGAAGAAAGGAATTGTGGGTGTATGTATCGTATTTGTATTTGTATATGGTGGATGATATGGAATTTGTAAAGTAAGGTAGGTATATGAAATATATCAAATTAAAGAATGAAAGAATGAAAGAAAGAAAGAAAGAAAAGAAATGAGAGATCTAAAAAGCAGATTCGGATTAGCATTGTGATGGTTGGTTATGGGAATACGGGCAGTGCTCGTATTGGATAGATGAACACGGAAATGAAAATCACCAAATTAGTTTTTTAAGAGAGGAGAGGAGAGGGGAGGTCAATCGTTTCTATGAGTGAGGTAGAGTGAGTTCTTGACTATTTATTTTGATATCACTAAGTTGAATAGTTTTGGATCGGATTGTTTGGTTTGGATAAGAAGTTTTTGAATTTGGAGAAGTTTGTTGGTATGGTTGTTTTTGTCGTCTAATTACCTGGGTGTCAATATTTAGAGATTATCTCAAATCCAAATAATATTACCTTACGTATTTTAGATCTCACTAGGCCATTACATTATGTTAGGTAATGTGCTAGTTAGGCCTTATGAAATTTGCTTGGGTTGGGGTGAATTACCTAGTTATTTTGAAGGTAAGCGAGGTAGGTGAGGTAGGCGAGATAGGCGAGGTGGCCCCCTGGTTTGCAATTGTGAGAGTGAGAGTGAGATTGAGGCTTACTAGTATAGTAGCAGACGTGGGTGTAAATAGATATGGAAATGGAAATGGAAATGTAGTCGAGTGATTATGAATGGATGGTTTGTTGAGGGGAGATAGGATGGGGTGGGATGTAATTGTGTAGATGTGTTATGGGATTGAGATTAAGATTGAATTCTATAGAAAGGTATAGGTGACAAAAAATAATATTTGAAGGAAAGATGTTTAAAGACGAATTGGCAGAATTCGGTTGGAGGAATTGGAAGGATTGGATGAGGAGAGTGATTAATGAGGTTTAATTAGCGAGAATATTTGGAAGTGAGAGGAGAAGGGGGGGGTTAATGTTTTGGGTGGTAGGGGATTTCCACATTGCTACGGTTTGGGGATGTGGCGGAGGGAGTAGACGATGCTGATGGTAATGGTGATGGTGATGGTAATTAATAGTGATGGTGATGAGAGGTGAAGAAGCGATGAGCTAGTATGCATGTATAGTATCAAAGGTAGGTGGGATGGATGGCATGAATTTGAATATAAATATGAATATGAATGATAGGTTAAGATTTAGATCCATATACCAAGAAAACTATCATATAGTAAAAGGAATATGGTATGATATAGATACCAAGTATAAGTCTTCACTCTGAAAAGATCATCTCGGTGGTGGTGCTTGAGCATTTACTCGTAGAGTCGTTGGGGAATGAATATTCTGTAGACCGTAGTGTATCACTATGAAATGTATCACTATGAATTGAGAGTTTTATAAAGAGCAGAGTAAGATAAGTTATAAAATAAGAGATATCGATCATGGTTTATAGTTGAATGGTGAATAAGAAATGGGGGATGAGACAAAATCTATTAAGGAGGTGATAATACAGAAATGCTGTTGCGATATCTTGGTTATACTCGTAGGGTTGAAGGTGTTTAAAGACTCCTTTTCTTTTAAGGGGGTAGTTGAAACGAAATGAAACGAAATGAAGCGAAATGAAACGAGAAAAGGTTACTTTTTCTTCTAGCGAAGGTAATTGATGAGCAATTGAATGCTAGTGGGATTGGGAGGTTCGGGTGAAGCTTTGATTTGATTTAAATTGGTTTGATTTAAGAATAAAATAAAGATCAAGAGGTGATAAAGTCTACTAGATATTGTTTAAACTTATACTATAATTACTTATTTCATTATAATATATTAGTCAATATATATCTCCTCTTATTATTTATTAATACTTATTTAAATCCTATCTCATCCCATCCCCTCATATCTCACCCCATTCCTTCACATCCTCCCATTCCATTCCATTCCCAAGAAGTAAGTACTCGAGTAGTAAATAACACAAAAAGAAACTACAAGTATCTCACAAAGCATACATATATATCAAGGTTAAAGAACAAGCAAAACTGTCTACCAGTGCGTAATAATCTGCTAATCTATCATTTCGCATCGTTGAATAAGATCAGATCAATCCAAGTTGATCTAAGTTACCTACCTAATCTAAGTTAATCCCAGTTAATCCCAGTGGATATAATTACTTGTATATTCCATGTTCAAGTTCCAATATTCTAATATTCCAATATTGCAATATAGCCAGCCAGCCAACTATCGTTCTATAAGACTATAATATAATATACTGGAGTAAATAAAAATGAACATCACAAATATCTTCCTCACTCCTCACTCCTCACTCCTCACTCCACACACCCAGAACCTAATCCAACTTCCTACCCGGAATCTAATCTAACCCAACCTAATCAAACTTAACCCAAGTAATCCTTATTCCTGGTGCGATTCCCGAATCTCGAAACATAAACATAAACAAACATTAACACGATAATTTAATAATCCAATAAAAGATACAACATCCTACACGCATATACACACACAACCATATCAAAAACCAGTACTCGTACAGTACTCTCTCTACTCGTAGTAACATAGTAACACAGTAAATACTAAAGAGCAAAAGAGCAAAAAATTGAAATTGAAATGAGGGTATCTATTAAAACCAAACCAAACCAAACCATCCTCCTCATCATCATCATAAAATCATGAAACCCATCCATCATAACACCATAAACCCACAGACCCATTCATCGCGCGCCCTTCACCTTCTACATGCCACAAAGATACGAGTATCGATATCGATAAGTATATCACTAACTCTCATTCTTACTCATCTTCTCCCTCTGCATCTAAGTCCTCGTCTCCTTCTCCTTCTACTTTAATACCCATGCACATATCCGCGCTTATACTCATACTCATACTCATACTCCCAGTCGCACTCCCACCAACACTCCCACTCCCACTCCCACTAGCACCAGCACCCCCATTCCTCTTTCTCGCCCACCCATGCCCAGTAGTCCCTACACAAAGTGTCCACTCCCCCCTCCCACCCCTCTCAATAATCTTTTCTCTCACCGCCCACTCCACGAACAGCGGATCATCTTCCTGTCGAATCTTATGCTCGCTCGCAGCAGTGCCAGTACTCCCTATACATACTCTCCTTTCACCCCCACCGACACCGACACCCACAACCACACCCACACCCACATCCCCCAGCCCACCCACTGAAACCGAAACTGAAACCCGCTCACCCGCCCTCTCCAAATGTCTCCCCAAATGTTCCATCCTCTCATCCCAACAACTCCTCCCCTCAAACCAAGCCCCCGCTCCATTCTTCCCCTTACACCCTCCCACCGGACACCCCAATCTCTCCGGGGCCTCCCTCCTCACTCTCTCGCAACTGCGCTGTAACCCCCTCACCCTCTCCTCCCACTCCAAATTTCTCTTCCCCTTCCTTTTCACCTCAAACGGCGCATGCATTCTCCTCAAATGCTGCGTGAATAAATCCTTGCGATTAAACTCTGCGCCCTTAACCTCTCCCCTAGCCATTCCTGTCTTCACCATAGCGCTCTCTTTTTTTGAAATCATCGAGCCCGAATGCGAAGATAGGGGTACCTTTCCACAGGCACCCAGTGTGCAGACCCAGGCTTGTAGATTTAAATGTTGCGAGGAAACATGACGTTTCCATTCATTTTTCGATGCGAATGTACTGCTACACCCGGCAAAATCAAAGACGCAGATAAAGGCGCGCGTGTGCGCTGATGCGATGTGGCGTTGGAGGGTACTGTTGTCTTTGAATCCGCTTTCGGAACATTGTTTACATGTCAGGCTACCGGAAGGAATCTTAGAGGAATGTTTGAGGGTAGGTGAGGGCTTGGAAATGCGGTGGCGTTTGGTGTATGGGGGAGAAATGGATTTGGTGGCACTGGTTCGCTTACGCGGGTTGCGGATCGAGGGATGGGGTGTGTATTCGGTGTCGGATGCCTCTTCTTCTTCTTCGATATCAACATCGGGGTGAAGTAATTCGGAGCCGATCTCGGCTTCGATATCCACTTCTGCATTAGTATCAACGTCAACGTCAACATCAACATCTACTTCGCCTTCAGCATCAACATCAGCATCAGCATCCGAGGTTGTAGATATGCAGTCGTTATTGGAAGCCTGAGCAGAAATTGCTCGAGGTGGAGACGCAACATCTCGAATTGAAGCTCCCAATCCCTCATCTCTATAATGTAAGCTATGAGAAGCTAATTTATGACCACCGGATTCCGAAGCTTGAATTGCGTAATCGGTACGCATCTCCATATCGGTATATGCTTCATCGGCTTCGAATTTGATTTCTTGTGGATCGGCAAACCCTTGGACATCGCTGAGATTGACACATGGATATCCAGTGGGCTGTGTCGGATGAGTATGTGGTTGTGTCCAAATATCGGAGAAGTGTTGAGTAGGGGTGGTGTGGATTGTGTTGGGTAGGATATAATCATCTTGGCCTTGCGAGGAATAGCATACATCATGATACCATTCAGCCTCTGCACCTGGACTTTGGGCACTACTACAGTTGGAGGATAACTCTTGGGAAGGAGAAGGTGATATCATTCTTGTTCGGGAAGCTCGAGGGAAAACGCCAACGGGTTCGAATGTTCTAGGAACTGTTCGAGAAACGCTATCAAAGCGAGACATCGTTGGTCCTGCAGTGAAGAGAGCTCGTCCTGGCTCGGTGATGAATCTCTGTAAAGGTTGTTGTTGTAGATCTTGTTGACAATCGAAGTCTGGGAATTCCACTTGGGCGTCAAGAAGTGGATCGATGTTCTCCATCCAAGAGGCATCAATATCCATCAAATCCTCATGACGGAAAGACTGAGGGTTTGATCTATTCTCTTGAAAGAATGGAGGATCCATCGTCGAGTACGACAAATTATCGCGTGACATGATGTCAAAATATTGAAAGTGGAGGTAAATGAATAAGTAAGTGAGTCTTCGACTTTGCTTTTTTGACTTTTGGCCCCCACGATTCTGGACTGGGAGGAATGATGTGAAGCCAAGCTTCTAGAAGAGAAAGATGCACAAATGTATAAGCTTGGGAGAAATGAAGCTGATATTTGTTTGTTCTTTTGTTGACCCTAATGCAGGAATGAGCTTCTTGTGTATCCAAATTGAGCTGATGAATGGGGCGGCAGGACAGAGAAGACAACAAACAGAACAAACAGACTCACAAGCTTGATTCGAGTATCTCCACCTTGCTGCGACTACAACAAATCCTTTGGGAAGAACAAACAATAAATCTTTTGATACACGACCTTTGTTTATTCATGCACAAATAAAACAATGGAATTCAAAATATCAGGTCATGAATATCATTGTATGCGTAGCCAGAATAGAGATATTAAGACTGGGGAAAAGTCTGAGGCGAAGCAGTGACTAAGTGAGTATGCGAAGCAGCGATTAAGAGATAGGCGCAGTGATAGTATGTAGTAGATATGATGAATGTATGATAATGATACAAGAAACAAAGAAATGGGAATCGGCATAGAGAATTCTCTAATGTAAGATTATCTGGGCCACGTCCCAGCATATCCTCCACAAAGTTCATACCGTATATGGTGCCGTTCGGGTTCGACCATTTCTTGCCTATTGTTGAAGAGCCGCATTTCGAAAGATCATGGATGCATAGTTGGGCCCCATGGAAGGCCGGTGAAGGATCGTAATCATGCATGTCAAGCAAGTTGATGTGCATACCCCTGACCTGAGAACACATAGCAAAGTATTGGATCTCCATGAATTTTCTCATGTACTGCGCCTCTCGTTCTGCTTCTTAAAGAGCATTCACCTGTACAGGGCGCAATATACCGCCTTTCCCCATGTCAAAAGTTGACGACGTGAGTGGAGGCTTGACCGAACCAGTCAATCATGCAGATTTGGCTTTCTATCTTCGGCTACATTGTAATCATCAGGACCAAAACCAATTAATTAGAGATCTACCCTTGTACTCGTACATGGCTATGGTGTAAGGCGGATAAGGCGACCACTAGGCAGACCTCGATGTCAAATCTTGGATGATTCGAAAGATTTGAAAAATATCAGTCATTCTTGTCAATGTGATGATGTTGGTGATGTGATGTGAAAGCCGCCCGGTCCGTCACGAAAAGACCACAGTATCGGTATCTCTTTGTACAATGGTACATAAATCCCGTCTATGGCCATTTCGATACGATCGGGTTCAATGGGGAACATTTATTTTCTTCCGTATCATTTACTTCATTGGCTTCGCTTTCCAGTCCAGACTTCATATCGTATTGTGTCAATATCTTATGTACTCGAGTAGTACAGATTCGAACTTCAAATTTCGCATTTCAAACAAACCTTAAATTGTACAACCAAGAAATCTCACTCGGTCTTCCCTACCCTCCTCTCCTTTTGTATCTCCTTTTCTTCTTTTCCTTTCCTTTCCTCATCCAGTCATTCTACTGTATATGTTCTTTATGTATTAGCATTTTAGCCCCCAACCCAACCACGAGCCACTCAACATCTAATATACCGTCAAAAACTCAGTTACTCTGGATAAGCTTAGTCCTAATATGGATTAAGGTTTCGATGAATAAACTTTGACCATAGACTTTTATTGGCTGATTCAGAAATAGATTGATTATATATCATTATAGGCCTTAATATATTAGTTTAGAAATGGGTTGAAAAAAAAGATGGATATTATAGATTCTATTATCAATAAATGCCTTAATCAAAGATTATATCTACCAAAACCTTAATCCATATTAGGACTAAGCTTATCCAGAGTAACTGAGTTTTGACGGTATAGTACTGTCGTGGCTTGCTTCGCTTACGACACCTAGTAGCTAACACCGATCACACTGACTTACACCGACTATAATAGTTCATAAATTTTATGAATATCTTATAGGCTGTCACGATATTGTGATGGAATAATATTCCATCACAATATCGTGCGCATAGGTTATGCAGGTTATGCACAGGCACAGTAGGGTTATGCAATGCAATTATGGATGATGGGTGTGGTGTGGGTGAGGGATGTATGTGTAATGTAACAGTGATCGGATTTGGAACTAGTACTGTTTAGGTCACCGAGTGTGGGAATGGATGGGATATGGGGTGTACATGAGAAATAGGGCGAAGGAACTTTAATTATTGAGTTGATTGGATTGGATTGGATTTTGTTTGATTAGATGGATATTAGGAAAAGGGAAGTAAAGTAAGGCGAGGTAAGGTGCGGTTAGAGTTTCCTGTATTTCTGGGTTTCTGAGTTTCTAGATAGGGAAGGAGTGAGGGAGATATCAGGGGTATGATCGAAGAAACTATAAAGATAGATATATACACAGACGCAATACTACTCGGTGGGATATACTATTCGCTATAATACAATAAAGAAAGAATAGAATAAATACTATATAATATAATATATTCGATAACACAACACTAGTCTGTATCTACTCAAGTATATTTGAGGGGAAAAAAACAAAAAAGAGATAAATAACTATAATTGATAATATCCTTCTATCTATAAGTCTAAGGACGATTATTCTATAATCAAAAATCTAATTCTTAAATTATCAATACTGCAAATGTACTAACTAATAAGTGCGTCTATACTTGATTACCTCCTCTCGAGTTGCCGATTCGACTATTATAATCACAACCTTCAAGAACAGACTCCTAGAGCCTCGGAACTTAATTTAACTTTATCTATTCTCTATTTCTTTACTATTCATTTGGAAAGAAATCTATAGCTTCGCGCTTTGCGTTTAGATAATCTAGGACACTAAATAGGTGGTAACTAAGTGATTTGGCGGTATATTTCCCAAAAATCCTATACATCTCTTTTGCTACTCGCTACTCGCTACTATAGAGTATTAAGTCCAAAGAACCAGGCCACCTTTTGAAGTAAAGTAAATTTAAATTTTCATACCCCTCACGCATCCCCCCCTCTACACAGATCCCGAGATATCTATGCATTATTTGGAACCTTCTATCGTATCCCATCCTACCCTACTCTACCCCTACCCTATTCAAAAGTTCATACCCCATCCAATACTTTTACATCATCACCCCAATACAAATTGATCAACAACAACACCATGATATTCTGAAACTCCAAAATCATCCTTGAACAAATCAGACTTTTAAGATTCCTCTCGACTACCTATTGAATCGCGTTTGCAATCGTTACAGTAATGATGATTACAGGAAGTACATTTGGGACTGAGGGTAAGAGTACGTCCTGGATCATCCGTACATTGACACTATGAATACGTCAGCAAATGTATGCGGCACAGTGAAAGGGTAAATATTACACAGTAGACGATCTCCATATATTTTGTATACTTTGTCGGTCTGCCACTCTCATCGTCGCTGCTTCTTCGTTTCTTCGATATCTTAGGTTCTTTTCCTGCCAAGGCAGATGAAGCTCCTGTGCTACCGACAGATTCAGGTGAACTTCTACCAGAGTCATTGATAGAATCCGTAGAAGATTCTCCACCGTCACCCTTGGGTGAAGATCCACCTAAAGAATGTGGACTGGAGACGTCGCCTTCGGGTTTATCAATATCAAGTGGAATCCAATCCCGAATACCTTGTTTGTCAAGTCCTCGGCGTCCCATGAAATGATCATCTATGTGATCAAATCGTTCTGTCCAAGCTTCGAGACCTTTCTTCCTGAGATCGATGAGCTTCTGACAAAAGCCGCACCAGAAACGAGCTTGACAGTTACGGCCAATATGACAGGCTTCCACATTAATCTTGACATCGTCTTGATCAACGATATCATGTTCTTTTCTGAAATGTTCCTGGAATAATTGCCGGCGATACGAGACTTTCGCACATGCGCCTCCTTCAGGTTTCTCCTTGTCGCAGCGCCAGGTTTCCAGATGGAAATGTTGAGAATTTTCGTGTCGCTTCCAATCATTTTTACTTCCAAAAGTTTTCTTGCAGGTCAAGAAAGTACAGCCATAAGGCCTCTCGTGCCGTTTCATGTGTTTCCTATGCATTGTTAGCAACATGAACCTAAGAGATAGATGTGATCTTACTTCAACTCGCAGGGTCGTCCTCTAAATCTTTTACAAACCTGACAGCTAATTTGATTGTTACTCCTATTGCCGGCAACAGATACAGTATTTTGTATTGGAGCAGTATGATTTGGATCCTTTTGAATAGTATAGCCCAATTTCTGAAGTGTCTTGAAAACTTCAACAGCTTTGTCCTGATCCAGAGAATCAACCGTTGGAGAAGATATAGTCTTATTCGATTCATCTAGTAAGCATGCATCTTTATCTGTTGTGGTTCCCCAGGAATCGACCGAAGAAGATTTTCCATTAGGCAAAACTTTCCGTCCCATCGGTAATGCACTAATGTCGGATGAACTTTTCGCCTCTGCTAATGCGGTCCTGATTACTTCGGTAATGGCTGCATCGGTGGCTGAGACGCTACTATGCCGAGTTGCCTTACCTGCAGATGGTAATGGATTGCGCTCCACCGATGGACAGCTTACATGATCAAGATTACGATCTAATGCACTATTTTTACCCACTGGGGTTGAGAGAACACTCTCCAAAGTGATCTTGTTAATAACTTCAATTGGAGTGCGAAGCAATTCCGATGGTTGAACAGTATCTCTGGTATGTGAACCCGAAAAAGTATTATTGGGACCAAGTACAATAGTACTACTGGCATTGATGTCCGCGACGAAAGGTTTCTCCATTGGGGTATCCACTGGGGTAACCAAATCCTGGATCAAGTCTGGATAGATGGGCTTCCAATTGATTTTGGCTTCCTGGTTTTTTGATGAACTTTCGTTGACTTCCCTATTGTGCGAGGTATCTTGAATTGGCGCTTCTACGGAATGAGAGATGTCCTGAGTCAAACTTGACTGTTCGTAAAACTCTGCCCTACGATAGATTAGTAGCTCCAAGTGTTGTTAAAATCCTCTAAACCTACTGTCGTATGATATCCTCAAAAATGCTTTCCGGTTGAAGGTAATTTGAATGAACTCGTTTCAAGTGGCTCCGGAAGTTGTCAAGTCGCGGCCATGCCTTGTCCTTGGACTTACATCCGGGTACAACGCAGCGGTATTTCTTCATTGGTTCTGCCTTCGACGTCGTAGCTAAGGGATGTTTGCTCTTGGTATGTCGATCTAGATCGTTGGTTGTGCTAAATCCCTCAGTCCTTATGCAACCTGGATAGTTGCACACAAAGGGCTTTTTATGGCGTAAATCATGCTTCCTATGAACTTTTAGTATAATTCTCCTCGACGCAGATCACTGTAAACTTACTTTAACTCGGATTTTGTTTTGACAGACTTTTGACATGTTGGACAAAACAGACCTGGAGAGTTGATCGAGGTCGGCAGATGTAATGGCCATGCTTCGGTTGTCCTATTCTCACGGGATTGCAACGCTTCATTTAACCCCTGAAATGGTTGATAGTCTGCAACATGACCTGCAAGGCTTTGACAGTCTTGGTCGCGATCATTAACATCGGCGCTGAATATTGAAGCATTTCCAACACTCCTTCTGGTTCCATATCCTGAATCCGATTGTGGTGGAGCACCGAAATGAAATGGTCCATTTTCCAAGGGTTCTTGTTGACGATATGGCCCTCCAAAAGCAACGGGTGCGCGAATACTTGAACGAACCTTGATACTTGTTCTCTCTTCCGAGATAGGATCTGATATTGTCTTGGGGTACCAAGGTCCATCATTATCGGCATACCATTGGAGTAATGGAGCCTGGCCTGTCGTCCGATCCATTGGCAGTTGTTGAATTCTGGAAATTGGTCCATATGGAGAGCTTAGATCCGAAAATCCATGGGAAGGAAACGACGGTGGCTCCCAAGCCATTGAAGAGGAAGGGGAAGGACTTGGAAGGGTCCTTGAATTACTCAAATCAATCTCAATAGGTTGAGGAGGGAAATCTAATGATGGTGGGCCCATCTCTCCTCGTGTGGAACCCCCATATCCGGAGTCTGAAGTATGCATAGAAGGAGGTGAAGGGTAATACTAAGGTTTCCCATCAATTCAAAACTCATGAGGAAGTTGAAGGGAAAGGGAATTGATCATACTTGACGTGGATGACTCCCATTACGGTAGTAGTTAAGATGCAACGACATTGCTGTTAGCTATCAGTCAATGATCTGATCAGCATCTACTCAAATTAGAACAATAAATCGGCGAAAAATATCAGAATATCTAAGTCGTAGAAGTATACAAATACGATTTTCGAGTTAAACAGAGCCGCAAGTAATGGGCGAGATGTCAAAAATGACCTTCACACACGCAGGGCAAATGTTCTGAACGCTTATCATGAACAATATTAAGGCGTGGAGAAGAAAAATAATATGGTTCGTGAAATAAAAAAACAGTAATGAGGCAGAATACAAAAATTCGAGTATATGCGGCCCTAATGAAGAAACAAATAAAGTGCTTACAAGTTGCGTGTGGGTTTTAGTGGTGAGTGAAGAGTGATGAGTGACGAGTAATGAGTGATGATTTCGGTGAGAGAATCGGGAATTAAGACAGTTTGCGGGCGACGCGGCAATGGGAAGAAAAACAAGAACAAGTGCGAACGACAACCAATTGATGAAGGGCTTTGATTTAAAAGGGATTAAATCAACAATGAAGAATTATTTCGAGTGATAACTATTCTCTCATCCCCATCAAATCATCTTCATTCCCAGACTTCGGATATAGTTGATGAACAGCACTTCGTAGAGTAATGAGAATAAAGCGAAGTGAACTGAAGCTCGAAGATAGATAAGAAATGAAAGAGGCAAATCCTGTGATAAGTGAGGCTGTACTTGTATTGTACTCCGGTACTGTATGTATGGCAAAAGAAGTGAGGCGAGCAACCGAAAAAGATGTTTACCAAGAATAGGCAGATAGTAAGCAAGCTGGGCAGGGCAACTCAAATCAACTAACTCACCCATTCATTCAAGCTATCGTTGAATCTTGACGCCCGATTATTATGAGCACCAAGGATCGAGGATATAAACAATAAGCTTGGAAAACTGACAATTTTGCCTGAATGTACTGGAAGGCCCAGTAAGGCATGAATACATGAGATCACGTGAAAAGTCATAAGCAAATAATTCGAGAAGAAAAGAGAGATACTGCCCCGTCTAAACTTGGAATATGCTTAGTCCTAATATGGATTAAGGTTATCGGTTGATGCACCTTAATCGTGAATTAGTATTGGATTTTATTAATTGATCTAGAAGTGGATCGTATATTAGCATAGACATTTATTGGCTTATTTAGAAGTAGATATTATAGATTCCGGATCTAATAATAGTTTTGATTAGGGTTTATTAATCTAAAATCTTAATCTATATTAAAACTAATATTCTAAATTATCGAGTTTAGATAATACTCGAACGAGTTTTATATAATTCTATATAGTTTGAAATTTTTTATTTATTAAATTTTTTTTAAAAATATAAAAGATTTATTTAAAAGAATTTAAATTAGTAATTGTAATATAAAATACTATATAAATTAAAATAAAATATTCTTGAATTTTAAGGATTTTTATTACAAATTCGAAATAAAAAATTATAATATATTTTAAAATTAGAGTATACGAAAATGAATTTATAATTTTGATTAATAGTTTTATTTTCTTAGAAATTCGTATTATTTTTATAAATATTACTAAAGAATATTAAAATATCTAATATTTTGAAAGAATAAATTCGCTTATTTTATATATTCTCTTTTAAAAATCTATTCGAGTAAATAGAGATCCTTTTTTAATTTTATTCTTTTCTATTATTAATTTATAGTTTATATTATAGAATAATAGAATATATAAATATATATCTATACTCAAGTCTAAGTATACGCAAAGCAAAAGCAAATACAAATCTCTTAATCGATTATAATATTCTATATATAACTACTTTATACAAATTTATATTCAATTAGTAATATTATTCCTCACCAACTCATTTCTTTCAAGCTTCCGTAAACTCATTCCAATCTACTTCCACTCAAATCTCAAATTTTAAACACTATACTAGTACCTAGGTATTCAACATCTTATTTTTCAGCTTGTGAATATATATATATATATACCCTCTAATCTGCATTCCCCTACCCCCCTTCGCACCAGCAACTATACTACCAAACTCAAACCCAACATATAAATCCACCGCCACATACATATATATATGCACCATACCGAAACCCGAGCCGATAGAACACTCTCTGCATTGTTTAACTTCCACATTAACCGGTCCGATCTTTTCCTTTTATACACTGTACAGCCTACACTACTGTAGAGATGTATTCACAATAACCGAATGCGATGCAGTATCACTATCACTATCACCTGTACCGATACTAGTTAAGTTGTTTCAGCTCCGTGAGTTAGTTTTATCCAAAAAAATTAAAAAATTAAAAAAGGAAGGTCATCGGTATTGGTAGAGTATTGGTATTGGTATCAGCTTAACTTCATTGGGACTCGGGATAGATTACATGGATCGATAAAATTTGGGCCAAGATATCTGCGTCGCATGTTTGAAGTTTGAAAAGAATCTGAAGTCTGGCTGTTATTAGTGGCTGGCTACCCTACCTGTACTCGTCAAAATGGAGTTGGTGATCTTATGAATCATAGAATATGTGACAAGGAGATTGTGTACATTCTCTAGACTAGAATACTCACTCTTGTTCTCAAGTCCATGTTCTCTGCTTCTAATTTATGAAAAAGGGGTTCTTTCCTGTTATGCATAAATGAGCTGGTATGGGAGCTCGAGCAGAGCCGTTGTGAATTCCGCTCAACTCAACCTCGATGTCATTTCGAAGAATAGAATAGGCTACTACCGGTATAACCCCATACTGGGGCTACTGTACAGTATGTAAACTTGATATCTCCGAGTGGAAGTAGAAGAAGGGAAAGCGATCAGAAGTTGATGTCCACTATATGTGGCGGGTATATATCCAGATAATCTAATGAGTAGGACCCATCACTTAAACACTCCATGAAACGCCCTAAGAGTTGAACTGAATCTCGTGGCGTAGATATGCCCGGCTGGTGACATATTGACTAGTGTCTGTATCACCCTATCTACTCGTATCGTCAAGTGCTGTTACCTTGGTAAAATCGATGCTTCAGGCTCATCCCATGTGTTATTGAAACCTTCAGATCCTGAGGTCCATACTACTTCGAAATTTCTGATATGCAATTGGCACTACCACAGTACTCGTAGTTTCCACAGGAAGACCTTGATTATCACCATTGTACGAGTAACACCATGTCACGATCTTCTCGGTTTGCTTCTCTAGATGATAGATGTCCTGCTTCTTGTCGAGTCGCTATGGGTGAGTGTGTTGTTGAACGAGCAGCGAGCTAGGCGAGCCTTGTGGGTGTAGTATATGGCGTGAAATTCGGCACACGTTAGATGTTGGTCAATAACATTGATAATAAATGTCTCGCCGTAGCTGTGGCTCTAATCAAGATCTCCTTCGACTCCATTCCTAATTCCCGTCGGTCGTTCTATAATATCACTGTGGAAAATTAGCATTTGTGAGATTATCTCTTTAATTTGCGTTCGACTAGATGTACTTACTCTCCAAACCACCGTTTGTGTAGCTCTTCAGGGATTAAACACCCACTTTCCTCTGGCCACTCTTTCTCTAACCAAGGTTTGTGACTTTCAGATACACCCAAAGGACTTCTTCGCTTGGCCTTTTACCGTTTGGCAGATCCATCGACAACCTTATTCCGGTACATTGATGCATTGCTAAAGTTTATACGCATTTGCGTGTACCTCATGTCCCTTCGAATCCTGCTAAAGTTAAAGTCAAATGTGAGATAAAATGTGAGATCAAAAGCCGTCGAGGTCCCACTCAGAAAACAGACAAACAGATGATGCGGTAGACTTCACTTTCTACTCGGAATCAAGGACTTAGCCACAGTATACTTTCCAGGTCCACATCCACCAAGCATCTGAATTATAGTACCAGGCGCATTGTGACCCCGATGGATTCTACCACAATTGGAATCCTCATATCGTCGGTGCATATTATTCGAACTGATGATCTCCCTCTTTGCTTTTTGCGCCGCTTCTCCCACATACGGTACACTGTGCATCCAGAATATGGTCGGTCCACACGGTACATGTAAATACCACATGCTTATGCACTGTCAGTCCTAGAAATCTTAGTCAGTTCCGGGTGAATACGTATAAGTGCAATCCACATGACGAAGAAATCGATGCCTCATCTACAACACGGTATAGGGCAGCGTTCTGTTTTTTTGGGAATCCCATACTCGGTGAAATGTGCCACTTTATCAATCTCTCTGTTGGCGATTTGATCCATGTTTCACCCCCTACCCCCCGGAGAACCAGACCATATAATTCCAACTACTCCTGCAATACCAGGCCTCGTCACGAAGTCACGAGCCAATGCGGAACGAACAAGAGTCATCCATGTTTCGCTAATGTGTTACCCATTTGGGTTTGCAGAGCAGGAGTAGTCTGGTCCGTGACACGATCGAACAAGGGCGAAGAAGATTAATGAAAGACTGAAGATGGTTTGAGCATTGCTCTCTTGGAACTGAGATGACCACCTACTAGTAACGTATGTACTTATGATGATAATAAATTTCTCCCTATATATACTCAAATATCGCATCCTATCTCATCGACAAACACGCCAAATCGAAATGGTTGAGCATACCGGCACTTTAGTGTAGCGGTTAGGAGTGTCACACCGGGTTCCTCTAAAAAATTCCATATTCACCATGGGTTTCCCCTCCCGCCCCATCAGTGGGGCGGCAAGGTTTTTGCTTGTTTTGATGCCACTCCTCGAAGGAGTGGGAGGAAGTTAATTGATATTTTCTAAGGAGGCTAAAATGGATTTGATACTTGTGGTAAATTGAGTCTTTGACTATATTGGCTCATAAAGCACCATAATCTATCAGATCCAATTAGATATTGACTGAGTCCCTCGTCCTACTGCCAGCCAAGCACACAGTAATCAACCTAGAGAACTTCTTAGCGAGGTTGAAATGGCCTTAGTCCACCTGTGAATCATAATCTTTCCGCAGGTGATTGAGTTTGCTTTGATCCATCACCATGTCCCACTAACATCACAGTCACTTCTTTTTTCGAGCCTTATAGCTTCCATAATCGATCTGCAACCTTTCAACTTGAGTTACCCTCTGTTTTGCCCTCTGGTTCCAGATTCTGCGCTCCATCCACCAAACCAACAATATTGTATCGTTTCGAGAAGAAAGTATTCCAATCATTAAGTACACCCTTTTCTTTATCGTCGAGATCGAACCAGTTGGAGGATACATCGGCAGCGGAAGTAGAAGTTTTGGCTAAGGCGCGGGAGGCATCATGACCGGCGAATACTAAGGATGGAGAAGTGGAATTAGTGCAGTGAACGTGCAACACGGGAAAAGAGAAAAGATAGGGGGAAATACCATGATAAGAACCACCGGGTAGATATGCTGTATTGCCCGTTACGTCATAGACTTTGCCCTACGTCCTATGAGTCTTGCGCAATCCATCATGAAATATGTACAAGGTTGAGACTGTATCGTACCTTAATTGCAACATAGCATTTATCACTATCAGCACCTTTTTCCTTGCGTCAGCCCCTCATCCAAACAGATCGTAGAGGGGTAATATAAGTACCGTTGCATTTTTCAAGTTCTTCCACTGAAATAGGATCGTATTTCGGTGGGTTTAAAGTAACAGGAGTTTTAGGTTCGAATTTGCCAGCCATTTTGAATGAAAAGAGTTGTGAGTAGTGAAGTTTATTTACTTGTACTCTGTACTGTAAACAAAACTACGATGTTGCCGAGGATGTGGGGTAGCCGTCATTCATTGGCAAGCGCATTGCGGGAAAGACAGGGGTATTTTTAGTTAGTTCCGTCGGGCAAAATGTCTTGCAGGAGGAAATCATGAAACTTCATGAAGCTCTATATTGCGCCAACAACAATTGTGTTTTCATTTCCATCTTAAATTGTGACATCTTTATAGAAGCAGCTTCCAAGATGTTTGCACCACGATTCGCAACTTCACTTGGGTCTGTCGGTCCTTCGAATCGCGCATCACAATGTCTTCGTCAACAACGAATACAAGCTCCACGGTCTAGTAAACCTGCTACCAGAAACTCTGTATCATGTCGAACACAACAGCAAAGATGGCAATCGACACGAGCACAACCGAAGATAAAGCCACCTAAAAGTTCACTCTCGAGGAACGTCAAGATTCTCTTTAGAGCTCATCCATATGGCATGACTGGGGCTACCATAGCGTATTTTACCCTCATATTCATTCCTCTTTACTACTTGGAAGCATAATACTAATATAACATGTAAAAATGCAGTATCGGCTTCGGAATTTTCTGCCTAGGATATATCAATTGGTGGTATAATGCATACATAGTCAATGGCTTCAAGGCCTTTCCAGAGCCCGTAGCTAAGCCACTCCGAAGAGCCCTTTACTACACCAACATGTCTCTTGAACCTAAGAACGCTCTTAAATACTATAAAGAGGCACTACGAGTTGCCGACGAGATTGGCATGGATCCATTCTGCGACGAATATCTTGGCATCAAAATCGCGGTTTGCATTTTATTAGAGAAAGTCCAAGCCTATGATAAGGCTATTGGAGTATATGAAATTATGAGAGAGGATTGTGGGAAATGGATGGAAAAACTAGGGGATTTGGAAAGGAATATTGGAAAGAGAACGAGAGTTCTTAGAAGAATGGTAGAGTTCAGCGTCAAGATCGCTGATTTGTACAATGGGGAATACGTCTTGCAGCCGGACAAGGCCGAGGAAAGCCTGGTATACGCTGTGGAGACTATATTGATGGAACAGATGAGGAGGCAGAAAGAAGGAGTGAGACTCGGAGAAGAGGTTTGGTTATCGGATGAAGAAATGGGCGGGACTTTTGAAAGTTTGTTTTCCCATTCAGTCAAGTTGGGTTGAACTAATTATCTTTCTAGCTCTTGCACATCATTACGAAGAAACCAATAAGCACCATCTTGCCGCACCCCTATTCCTACAAGCTATAGCACTCTCTATTCCCGCCACCTGTCACACAGCCGTCCTAAGTTAGACCCCTCTCTTATTTCCCAAAACCACTCACTAACCCTTTTCTACCAGTGAACAATCTTTCTATATCCCTAGCCCAACAAAATCCTCCACCAGAACCAGGCCAACCCATAATATCCCGCTCCCAACAAATCCAAAATGCCCGCGCGTGGGCCATTAAATCCTTAGAAATATGTGCCAAAATCTCACCACCAGAAAGAACTGAAGAATGTGATCTTGGCTGCGCAGTTGCAACACATAATCTAGGAGAATTTGCCGAAATGGATGGTAATATCAAGGAAGCTAGGAGAAGATATCAAGAAGCGAAAAGTTTAGCGAGTGCGATGGGGTTTAAGGAGGGAGAGGCACAGAGTGAGGAGAGATTGGCAAAGATTATTGGGAGCACGGAGATTATAAATCCAAATTAAGTGGGGAGGGGTCTTGAGATCATAAAGTGGCTCAAAAGATAGTGCGAGTTTTGCCTTCAGTACAGGCTCAACTTGAACACATCAATATTTTATATCAATATACGTATTGCAAGGGAAGTATATCCTATCCACCAATTCAACTCTTTCTACCGCGACTAAATCACAGATCCCGTATTTTCTCCGAGGGTTCTTGGGGGTTCTTGTGGGAAGCTTTTGGGCGTTACGAGTAAGTTCCCCTCCTTCTCCATACGCCATCAAAACCAAATTTCAACAGCGTACCCTTCTAGCATTCAACTCACAACCACCATACTCACCAATTTGTTTATTTTTGTCACCCTCATCATCCTCATCCTGATTCCTCACTTTCTCCTCTCTCTCCCCCCTCTCTCCCTATCTCTCTCTCTCTCTCTCGCTCCCTCTCTTCTAGTTCTATCTTGTCCTGTCCTGTCCTGTCCTGTTCCTTCCTGTCCGAACTTTTGCCTGGATTGAATTGAATTTGATTATTAATTAGATTGTTTTGTGCTTGCGAACTTACTTCATTCTAAAGGCCGCTTAATTTCCGCCTTTTGATTTCCTGCCTTGTAATTTCTTGTGCTAAGGTCATTCTTTATTGAATCTCATCTGAGATGAGATAAGCATCTCACTCCCTTCGTTTGAGAGTCTGAGATGGCTCTGGAAGGGGAGGTTTGGTTTGGGTTTGGTTTGGCTTGATTTGGGAGGGTGTGACTTACTTCTAGAAATAGGTTAGGTAATGTGAGAATATAAGCGATATTATGAAAGTGTTTCCCTGGGTGCGCGTAAAAGTCGATGGCTGGCCAATGGGATGGGTATGGGTATGGAGTGCGATTTCACGAGATGGAAAGGAATAGGAAATTGGGGGTGTATTACTTGAGTTGAGTATTTCAGTGAAATGGTAATGGTTATGAGATGTGAGATTTGAGATATGAGATTTGAGATTTGAAATATGAGGTTTGTCTAGCTAGAAGATGGAAGATAGAAGATGGAAGAGTAATCTCCATTTGGGAAGTTCCTTTGGGGGTGGATTGAGGATTGAGCAATGTGGATCGAGCATTGAGCATTGAGTATTGATTTGGATGGAAATGGGGATTGGGAATGGGGATTGGGAAGTGGGATTTTTATATGTTATGTTATTTTATGGGTGGGATATGAATAATAAGGTGATGTTGGGATGGCAGAGGAGATAAGGGGGGCTTCTTCCAGTCCCATACGGAATCCAAGTAGAAACTAAAAATGAGGCCACCAAACTACACACTTAAGAAACTACGGCCCCTCAAAGACTGAGAAATCATCAAAAATTGATCTGCCTCGATACATTCATAGCACACGAAGATTCTTTTCAGAGCACATTACGTGGTATTTTCGAACCATATGAAAGATGGAGACACGACGGGGAAAGTCATGATTTGGTGAATAATGACGTAGCTGGAACGAATGAGAAGAAGAGTTTGCGGCGAAAAAAAATGGGAGTATTGGGGAGAACGTAGTTATACACTTACGAAACCGGATATTGCGGAATCATTGATGGATTGGAGAGAAGGTTGGGAATGGAGTTGAATTTAAGGTTTTGGGGGAAATATGTTGGATTTGGACTTGGACTTGGATATGGCTTCGCTTCTAGGTTATATGCAGTGAAGAAGGGTTGAGGAGTTGGTTTGAGAAGATTGGTGATGAAGTCACGTTTGTTTGCTATCTGATGCTAAACATGAAGATTCGTGGGAATAAGTACAGGTTTTGTGAACTTGCGGGTATGGTTGTGTTTGTGGATTATGGATTGAAGATATAGGATGGTTGGATAACCTTATATTTTGGAGGGCTTACTTTAATTGAAGGAAAGTATATCAATCTAGTTTTGATATGGAACACAGAGGAAACCATACAAATTTGTCTACTATCATCATAATCATTACAGTCAACCCAAAAAAGAAGAGTGTCATTTACTATCTTCCACCCTTTTCTCATACAAACCTCCTTTGGACATAATCTCCCTTCACACATTTGTGAACTAACCTATACAAGTAAACACATCTTGGACTCGGAGATAATCACATATATAAATAGAACCCTACAAAGTGCAGTGGATCAACGAGTTATCCTACTCTCAAGGTACCATATTTATCTTGTATACATAAACGCAGAAATGAAAAATAGATGAATAAGTTCCCCTAAGATCTTGAAGTTAGAGTTTCAGGGTAGAGATATGAAAAGACTGAAAGTGTAAATATAAGAAGCTTAGAAGATATCCTCTTAGATATTGCAAGTGATTAGAAGAGAAATAACATATATTTCCCTCTGATTTCATTCTCATAGAAATAACAAGATAGACTCGACTCCTGATCTCCAGAACCAGAAGTGGCATAAATTCGATCAACGAAGATACAAGCTGTTACACAGTAACAAACAAGTCAAACATCCCCCGAAAAACAATAGACAACCCTGCAGCATTCCGTAGTGACAGGGTCTTGTTCCATATTGTGTAGTTTATGGTATTTTAGTGGATACTGTAACGGGTAGATGCATATATATGCGAGGATTGGTGTCAAGTTTCGAGGAAACACAGTACGTGACTTATTCACTGGTCGGTCGGATAATGGGTATTTAGAGTCTGGTTTGTAGAGAAGCAAAGATAAAGACAAACAGAGAGAACAATTGGGATTTGTTGAGAGGAGTTGTCGGTTCGGATGTGTTGTGTGGTGTGTTTTGGAGATGTTGGGATTGGTGGTTGGAATGAAAGAGGAGGGACGGCGGGTGGCTGCGGTTTGCGGGGATTATCTTATCGGCAGGGTTGGAGATGAATGGGATGAGAGTCCGGGGAAAAGAGCTGGGTCTAGACTCTTTGTGGGAGATGGGATTAGGATCTAGTGGTTGAATACTTTGTGAAGAAGGGGTGTAAGGGGTCTGAAGATCAGTTATTGAAGGTAGAAAGCTGAGGGTGCTAGATGGTGTGGTGGACATGCGCAGGTACGAAAGCTATGGGTTTCGAGGTATTGATGAGGTGGGTATGCGGCGAACAGATCTTTGATCTAATCTGCATGGTGGTGTGTTGTCGATACTTGTTTTGGGAAAGGGGTCATGAGATGGATGGAGGGGTATTTCACCGCTGGCTGGTGGCGTCTTCTGAGATAATTAGTAGTAGAAAGGACGACCATTGTTCTTGCTTTAGCAAAGAGTGGCAGACTCGAGTAGATGTAAACTTCATTCATTGGCGAGTCAAGATTGCTATTCAAATTCGGTCGGTAAGTAACATGTCGATCTTTTCTACTTCCAAAAGTAGGCATAAGGGGAGATCACCAGATATTCTTTCTCTCATTTCTAGGTGCATAGGATGGATTTCATAAGAATATTTTCTTCTTCTCATGACATTTAGAGTCTTCACTGACACCTCTTAGGTTGCGCATAGATGGAGAGGAGAATCGAAGCTGTAGATGGATCGTGACTCGACCACCAATTTGATGATCTAGATATCCTACCGAAAATACGTTCTGACATACGCATTTTGAGCACAAACGACCTATACATACTAGAGATATCATACTCCGCAGCCCACCCACCATTCGAACCTTCCAATCATCTAAAACAATGGCAGATCTACACATTCATTTCCATTATTTTGATATGAGATACGAGTATGACATTCGAGATGAAGATTACTTGAATACGAGGGATGCGAGGGATGCGAGGAATATAAGGGCGGATATTGCGGGGTTGAAGGTGGAGGTTAGAGAACTGAGAGCCGAACTGCTGCTGAAGGAGAGGATAATTGGAGGATTGGAGGAGGAGGTAAGGGTGATGAGAGAAGAGATAAGAGGCATGAGGCAGGATGTGAGGGGGGTGAGGGAAGAGGTTTTGGGTTGGAGGAACGAAAGAGCTCAGGTTAGAGAGGATGTAAGAGAAACGAGGCAGGAGATTGTAGGATTGAGAGGGGAGATTGCGGGGTTGAGGGGTGAGATTGTAGGATTGAGAGGTGAAATTGTGACGGGGCAGAGAGAAATATTGAGAGATTTGGTGGCCATTGAAAGTTTGAGAAGAGAGGTTGTGGAAGGATTGACGAGGAGGGATGCGGACAGTGCTCAGATGGAACGACGGCTAATGGGCGAAGTTCAAGATCTGAGAAGAGAAGTTGTGGAAGGATTGACGAGGAGGGATGCGGACAGTGCTCAGATGGAACGACGGCTAATGGGCGAAGTTCAAGATCTGAGAAGAGAAGTTGTGGAAGGATTGGCGAGGAGGGATGCGGAAAATGCTCAGATGGAACGACGGCTAATGGGCGAAGTCCAAGATCTGAGAAGAAGAGATGCAGAAAGAGTACAAAGAGAAGATGAATTGACAAACGAGGTGGGTGTTCTTAGGAGAAGGGAAACAGAAAACGAGGCAGTAGTACAGGCTATGGGGATTGATACAGAGAATTTTAGAAACAGGATAGAGGAGTTGGCAGAGGAGAATAGGCAGTTGACGGAGAGGGTTGTGTGGTTGGAATTGCAGAGGCCGGAAATCGAGGCAGACGTCGAGCCAGATGATTATAAAGAGGTTGTTGAAGGCAAGAGGAAGAAAAACAAGAAAGGGCGATGCAAGTGGCCGAAATTTTATACTGGGAGGAAGAGAAATGGTGTAAGAAAGGAGCTAGCTTTGAGACTTGTGGAGTATATCGCGTATACTTGAATGCGGATCTAGATGTTGCGTAGGCCTCATATTACTATGCGCGAGATCTTCCTGGAAGACGATAGGATTTTGCATTACAAAACAAGATTTTAGGCTTCTCCAAGAAGAGGTCTTCGGATACTAGATCAGTCTAAATCACATTAGACACGGTGACAAGATCATTCCGGAGAAGATGATAGTTTCTTGCCTACCCTTTAAACAACAGAAGCAATCAGACTAATCCACCAACGTGTTACAAGCACGCTTTCAATACACTTGTTGCCATCCATGACGTCGGTGTCAGTGAACATATCTCCTCTTTTCACCTCACATCCCAGTGTCAACCCCATTTTGATAGTTCGGGTAGATCCTCCGAACTTCCAATTCAATTCCTACTCGGCCAATTCCACTTCGAAAAACAAATTGTACGAAGAAACATCGAGATATCGACTTTTAGTCCAGATCTACATCTCGAGATGACCTACATTCATGTATGAAGTAGTGGTAGCCGCCGTCATTGGCTACCTACACGATAGCCAGATGAGGATCCTGCTAGTAACAACACAAAAAGAATACATGGTCGGGCCGACTATATTGCCGCGGTTTGGAAAGCATGATATGATTTTCAGTGCTTGCATTGTAACTGTTTAAAAGCTGCGCGCGCAGAGACAGATGGTTGAATTGCGTGCTTGATACATCATCACTTACTAAGATTGCCGAGTAAGCAAAAAAACAGTTGAGAGAGAAAGTACATATGAGAAGGCTTTGAGATTCATCTACCGTTTAGCTGGCAAGACGGCATATCAATTAGACTTGAGAGATACGCAGTAAGGCCAAAGAGCGCTGAACGTGAAGGTATTTGCAACAGAAGTCGCCAAGTACAACAATATGTTGTGGAAGATATTGCCAACACTACGCAATCGTTTGAACTTGCGCCACTGGATCTAAGCCAAGAAAACTTAATCCTGAGTATGTCCTTGTATCAAGTTCAAGTAATCTTTCCTTCAAACATTGATGAGACAGCAACGAGGACCGACCTTACCAAAAATTTGCTATCAGTAAGAAGTTTTACGAGCACCGAAGAAGGCCATGTTCATATATTCGACGAGCGATCACGATATCGGATATAAGTCTTACATTGTTGTGTAACCACAACACTACAAGGCCTCCATCGTTCATTCGAGTATCTACAAGCAACGCCCTAAGATAATCCGACGTCTTAATGAGGGATGCAGGGAGACAATGAGCTGTAATTTTCGGACCGATGATACATGCGCCAAGTATGTCGAGCCTCGCAAATACATACCGGTATTTAATGCTTTCAGCTATGTGCGGCAGGGGGTTTATTATATCGGGTATATATTCGCTGTATTGAATAGGTATTGGCTGAGATTCCAAGGAATAATCCGCCACCCGTTTGTGAACACAACATGTCATATCGGTATATGTTTGAGGGTTCAGTTGGCCTTTAGTTATTCCTGCATCTTTCTCCAATTGAAACTTCAATGATGTCGTTGTCCCCTTTACCATCACAAATTTTGATAGACACCAGATAACCTTACATTACACGTGGTTGAAATTAGGTTTTCTTAGCGTCATTTTTGCCGACGACAACATCTTCTCTTGTCTGAAAACCTCCACATTCCTATAAATTTGGCCACGACATCATGGACTCTAGATCCTTTCATCTATAACAATCACGTTTACCTGACGGACCGAATACCAACAGCTAATAATGCAAATTCCATGGTTCAATACGGCGCAGCAATATGATGAAGATGATCCAAGTTGTTGGGATGAGATCCTATCAGCTCATTTGATATTACTCGAATACAGTATCAGTATTACTTAAATCCAAGGAACATATTCAATTAACGAAGTCACACGACAGAAGCAGCTCAACTGAACTGGTTTCTCGAGCTGCATAGGCAGGCTGAAACTATTTGCCGTGATTGGATCTTTGGATTTCTACCCCAGAAAGAAATTAATTACTTTCCGGGTCGATCGCAGCAGCCCGCCTTCCCCGCAATTGGTTGTGGGAGGTTTTGGCCCTCTAGCTTGTATTTCTAAGACTTTTTTAATGGTTAAACATGCCATTCGGAAGTCTGGAGATCCTAGTAAGTCTTCAGTACGAAGATTTTCAACCTTGAATACACTGCGCTGACTGTCATCTCATTGTCATCTGTTACATTCCTACTCCTCACGTAATATGACCCAGACTGGAAATCACCCCAGATTTGAATAGTCAATATGGTCTCATTAGTTTGAAATCATTTTGTTTTGATATTACTGATCGAAACGGGAATTTCCTTTTTGTCACATGTACTGTAGTCTGTACCTAGATAGTAGTAGGTACTGCCGTATGCAAGCCTTGAATCCTTTTCTCCGTACATCTAATTACCCGCAATTTGTTACCAGATCAGTGAATACCTTGCTCGTCGCATGGCACTTTCCCCCCGGAGATTATCCTATAACTCACGCTTAGATGCGAAACTGTACCAGATAAACTCATTCATAAAATCGTACCTGCCTGTCCTCCATACATAAAAACAAGACCTTCTTCCTTCCAGCTCCCAAATTCTAGATTCTTACACAACATTAATTTCATACATCTTTTCCTCCAAATTCAACACCACCTACGAAATCCCTTTTGGCATACACTACTCTCTTCGCATTCTTTCATTCATCCTTGTTGCTTGATCTGTAACTAAAATATCAATCAACAAGATGGGTCTTGCAATCATCAAGCCCGCGGGCGTTCCAGGCAAATCATGGCCAGCAGTAAGTTATCCACTATAGTGTAGGCTTCGATCGTGTTTAACAGTTTGATTAGATCCTCATCGGATGTTTCGTTGCGTTTGGTGGTCTCCTTTTTGGTTATGATACAGGTACTATTGGTGGTATTCTCGCTATGGAGTAAGTCAATTTTGCCAATGTCCCTTCATCCTTTCAACGCATCTTCTTACTGACACTTGTGTTAGCTATTGGGAGAACGAATTTTCGACTGGTTATAAAAATGCAAAGGGTCATCTCGATGTCTCTCCATCTCAATCTGCGGCCGTCGTCTCTATTCTATCGGCTGGAACCTTCTTCGGCGCACTTTCTGCAGCTCCTCTTGCGGATTACTTTGGTCGGCGTATAGCTTTGTTGATATCTTCTGGTGTTGTTTTTACTTTCGGTGTAATCTTACAAACTGCCTCTGCTGCATTACCAATGTTTATTGCCGGTCGTTTCTTTGCTGGTTTTGGAGTTGGTCTCATCTCTGCTTTGAGTAAGTTTTCTCTTGCTATCTTGTCTCTCTTCCAAACTTACCCCTACCATATACATTCAATCTTATCGTAGAAAAGGTCAAGCAATGAACTAACGCTATTTCTTTTCTTTTAGTTCCACTCTACCAATCCGAAACAGCTCCCAAATGGATTCGTGGAGTTATTGTTGGATGTTATCAATTGGCTATTACAATTGGTCTACTCCTTGCCGCTGTTGTTGATAACGCTACACAGTCCCGACAAGACACTGGATCATATAGAATTCCGATTGCAATTCAATTTCTTTGGGTTAGTCACTCCACCTTGAGTTTGCTTATACTTTGCTAATACTAATATAGGCTATCATCTTGGTCTTCGGATTGTTGTTCTTGCCTGAAACACCCCGTTACCTGATCAAGCGGGGACACTATGCAAAAGCCGCCGAATCCCTCGCCAAGCTCCGTCGTCTTCATGTTGATGATGCAGCTATTCGTGATGAATTGGTTGAGATTCAAGCTAATCATGAATACGAACTCCAACTCGGTCAAGCTTCATATATGGATTGTTTCCGAGGGGGTATGGCTAAGAGACTGGCAACTGGATGTTTTCTACAGGCTTTGCAACAACTTACTGGTGTTAACTTTATCTTCTGTAAGTCTACTTTAGCCATGTAGATATTTGACCGAGCACTACTAATATGATCACCTAGATTATGGTACTCAATATTTCAAGAACTCCGGTATCACCAACGCCTTTGTCATCCAAATGATTACCAGCGCCGTCAACGTCTCATCTACCCTTCCCGGTTTATACGGAATTGAAAAATTTGGTCGTCGTCCGCTTCTCTTATGGGGAGCAGTCGGAATGTGCGTCAGTCAACTCATCGTCGCTGTATTGGGTACAACCACCACGGGACAAACTGCCGACGGAGTAGTATTTGCCACCAACATTGCTGCACAAAAGGCATCCATCGCTTTCATCTGTATCTACATTTTCTTCTTCGCATCCACCTGGGGACCTCTCGCATGGGTTGTCTGCGGCGAGATTTTCCCCCTCAAAGTTCGCGCCAAGGCTCTTTCCATGTCGGTCGCCACCAACTGGCTCCTCAATTGGGCCATTGCCTACTCGACACCGTATCTCGTCAACTGGGGACCTGGCAACGCTAATCTCCAATCGAAGATCTTCTTCATCTGGTTCGCGTGCTGCTTTGTGTGTATCGCCTTTGTTTATTTCATGATCTATGAAACCAAGGGGTTGACACTGGAACAAATTGATGAACTTTATGATAGCAAGATTACGGCGAAAAATTCTGTTCACTGGAAACCCAGCAAGCACTTTGTTGATTTGGTCGATGGCCATGATCTTTCGAATGAGATGGGTCACGAAAAGCATGGTGGTGATGGTGTTTTGGCGGATGAGAAGGGTACTGCGATGCATACTCATGATCATGATCATAATCACAATGAGACTTTGAATCATAATACGGCGCCGGTTGGTACTGGTCATGAGGAACTTCGCTAGGTTTCTGGCACCGATCAACTATCTTTTTGGGGATTGATTGATTAATTCTGTGGGCGGTTGTTTGGTGCATTGCTTACTGGTATCAAGCTCATGATACTCTGTCTCTCTCTCTCTCTTTTTTTCCACATTGCGAAGATACCTAGCGATTAACCTTAACAGTCCTGGTTTGGGCCGTACCGTAGGCTGTTATACATTTGACGGGGTGAAATGTTTTTTTTTGGCGTGCGTGGACTAATGGTTTTGATTTGATTTGATGGGTGCGGCATGGGGAATCAATAATAAATGGATGGATGGAAGGAATGCAAGAAGTGGATGTCTTCTTGATCATACCATACCTAGGTAGATATCGCATAACCTAAATAAATAAATAAATTTCTGCATTACATTACCTTACATACATATATTACATTACATACATTACATACATACATTACGATAAGTAAGTAAGTAAGTTGATATAATATGATATCAATCTTTGTATATACTGTGCTATACTATGCTGTAATGTACTGTGCTGTGCTATACTGTATTATGATATAATAATCGTATTTTCATACTACTTACCTAGATATACTTGTTACTTTACAGTTTTTCTGTATTTATATTCTGTATAAAAAAAAACGGGCTTTGGTTAGTTATAGTTAGTAAATTACTCGTATGCTATTCATGCTATTCGAGTATTGAAATTATACTGGTATATGTTTTAATTGACTGAGTACTGAGTACTGAGGATTCGTATGCTATTATAATAATAGGTAGGTAGGTAGGTATGTAGGTGATTTCTGTGATATAATGAATGAATCTAAGATATGCGGGGGTAAAAGGGGAAAAGGGGGGTAAGAGGAAGAAGAGGTAAAGGGGGGGGGCGGGGTTTGGCGTTTTATAGGGAAGATTAGTATTAAGATTAGTATTTTTTAAAGGGAAAATGGAAAGAAAGTACGGTAGGTGATAGATGGACAGTAGTGATGATGGTGATGGTGATGATGATGATAATAATACTCGAGTAATAGGTAGGTAGTAAAACATTTCCATGATTTCGGTAAATGATTTGGCTCAAAGGGGGGGGAGTAGAATCTATAATCTATACTAGGTAGGTAGTGAAAGAAAGGATAGATAGAATCTACTCGTATAGTGGGAGGGGAGGGGAGAATAGAATCTGTACTAGATAGTAATAGAATAGAATAGATACTATCTACTCGTATATTATAGTAGGGGAGGGGAGGATAGGATAGAATCTTATAATCTATAATCTATAATCTATATATAATAGTCAAAGTAGAGTAGTAGATACAGATATAACCAAAAGGATAGAAAGATTTATACTCGGCGGGGTTCTAA